GAAGCATCACATGACTGGAGCATCTCTTTTGAGGAAAGGCTGAGGGAGCTGGGCTTGTTCAGCCTGGAGGAGAGAAGACCGAGGGGATCTTAGCAATGCATACAAAGGTGGGTGTCAAAAGGGTGGGGAGAGAATGTTTTCAACTAGTGTCCAGTGACAAGTTGGGCAGAGTTACCTGCAACTGAGGGACTGTAACAGGGAGATTTTCTGGCTTTTCTGTGGCTGTTAAGGCTGAGTTCTTCAAGCTCTTCAATTTCACCTGCCTTCAGTTCCTTTAAAAACACCCCTTTCCATGATTGATGGTTAACAGCGCTGCCTCTGCATCTAAAATCACCAACAAATTGGTCTTGCAAAGAGTCCCCTGGAGGCTGCTTCAGTGGCTTTCCCAGAGTGAGCTTGAGCTCTGGCACTTGTGTGTGTGCTGCAGACCCGGGATGGTCCATCCTGAGGCCTTCCAGAGCCTTCTCCCCCCACTGCTTCTCTTGTTCTGTCAGCACTGGAACACAGAAGCCATTCCTGTAATTGGGAATGTGTATGTGCAGCTGGGCTGTCAGCAAGGAATAGATGTGGGCGAGTGGCTGAGGGAGCATGAATGAATGATTGAACAGAGGCAACTGCAATAAAAGCTGTGGGTGGAAAGAGAAGGCTTGGAATCAGCTCACCCACCACTTTAATGTGTTCTTTACAATGAGGTATACAAGCAATAGGAGAATGGAGGGGTCTTTACTCCCCTAGCTGTTGGAATACAATGTGGTTTTGTCTTGGACAAATTTTGCTTCTATGCCTCCTTTAGGAATGGGAAAAATGCCCTGGTTGCCAGTGTTCTTAAAAACGTACTTAAATTTCCTGAATAAATAAACTGCAGCTTCTGTGGTGAGTGCAGGGAGTCTTGCTTAACTTAATGCTCCATGGAAAGCTGCTAGATAAGGAGAGCTTGGCTGTGTGAGACTGAGCAAGCAACTGACTATGGGATTTTCTGATATCCTAAAACCCAAAGTGTTTGGCAAATAGATTAGGTCAGTGAAGCAAAACAGGCATGAGGATGTTTCATTAGTCTGTTCAGTTTGATGCTATCTGTGACTTATTCATGGGGAGGGAAAAAAAAAGTGTGCTTCCCACCACTGAGCTGGTTTCTCTCTGGGCTATGTTGTGGTTTGGCTGTGGCTGGCTTGCAGAAGTTTAAGGAAGAATAAAAAAGGAAATTTCTGTGTGGTTGCAGAAGGGTTGGCTGGCATGCCACGGGGAAAAAGCCTGTCCTTTTTGGCCTTTGGGAAGGAAACCAAGCCGAAGGGAGACGTAAGAAGTGTGTGGGTGGATATCTCTCAGCTTTTCTTCCTGGAGGCATACAGCAAGCTGAGATGGGGGGGAATGGAGGGAGGAGGACGAGCGAGGCTCAGCTGCTCCTGCAGATGCAGAAAGTGCTCGAGCGAGGTTGAGCAGGAGAGAAACAAACATTCTTCTTGTGTGACTTCCTTTGAACTAGGGGACTTAGATGCTGTCCTGTAGTGCATAACTTGTTCCAGCCCTACCTAATCTCGTTCACTTTGATTTTGGTTTATGTTAATTTGGTATTCTGTGGAAAATGGAGTGATATCTCAAATGCCTTCTGTCAGCTGCCTGTTAATACAGCTCCCATTGGGGCTTACTCTGTAAGCTTAGAGTTAAAAACCTTATAAGTGAACTAAACCAGTCTTCCCGAAGGAAAGACAGTTTATTTTCACCCTGTTGTTGGGGTCCAAGAATATGCCCACATTCTTACACATGCAATTCAAGCCACGTGCTTCCTCAGGAACTCCACTACCATTTATTCCAGTATTTTGTTGAAACATAAAGGAGCTGTTTAAATTAGCTTGGAGAAGTGGAGCTTGCTGTAATAATACAGAATTTGTTAGAACTTTGCTTTGACTTCAGTTGGACAGTGATCAGAGAGGCTGTGCAGGTTAAATTTCTGCTTTTCTTCAGCAGTATCATAAAAACTCTAAATTATGAGTTTTACAAGGAAAAATTGTGTTTTTTCAGAACTGGACTATAGGAAATAATTCTGTTTCAAGCACCAGCAGAAGTGTAGCTTTCTCGAGGACTCTTTTGGGAAGCTGACCCATGCTCTGGGGAGCTGATTTTGTTAGTATCTTGATCTCAGCTTAATTTTGCAAGCAGTTAGTGTTTTCACTTTGAAATGCCTCCAGTGTGCAATTCTGTTTATCTTGCAAGGCATACAATTAGGCAAAAATCTGACATCCAGTATGTAAGGCTGGTAAAATAAATAAGGACTGTGTTCAGATCTCCAGTCAGAAAGAAAGAGAATGCAAGATCTGGTTAATGACACTTGAGCAAAACAAAAAAACAAACCCATAAAAATGAGGATTGAGTTCAGTATTCAAGCTCACGTAGGAGGAAATATTGACAAAAAGTATCCAGAAAATAAATAATCCTGCCTGAGAAGTGTTCTAACATATCTTTCCCTGAGACTCCTTTTACAGTGTGCTCACATCTTGCAAAGCTCTGTTGTAGGTGGGCAGGAGAAAATAAGAAATGATGTGACAATGCTCAAAAGGCAATGAAATTATCGGGAAGGAATCCTGCCACTTCTTGCTTTCTCTTGTTTATGGAATTACCACAGGTTTCTGATACTGAGTAATAAAAATACTTCAGTCTTTTTCCACAGGAGTTAGGGTGATTTTAGCCTCTTCTCAATAAACGGAGGCGAGTCAGGTATGGCATAAAGGTAACTTAAAACTCATTCAGTGGGTTTAGAAGAGAAGAATCCTCTATAGAGCTGAGTAGAATTTTCTCACTTGTTTTGGTCTCATCACTTTTTGGTCACTCTTCCTTACCAGAGCACTTGTATCATTGTTGGGCCTGATCCATTAAGTGAGGTTGAAATTCTTGAACAGGAAGGCAGTGGAAAGTGTGTAAGATAAAATATGCACTGAAGTTTGTGGTACATATGTGCCATTGTGTAGTAATATCAATCCCAAATTTTTTAGTGTATTAGGACTGGAAAAAGTGATTTTTAGAATATTTTATAATTTTTCTCTTCCTTTATTTTGTTTTAGTGAGGAAGCTTACTTGGCTCCAAAAGTAATTGATCAGTAGAGGCAGCATCAGGAAGTTTGTTTGTTGCTTCCTGTGGTTATAAATTCAGTGAATCCACCCTAAAATAGAAAACTAATGTAAGTTCTTGACTCTATTGTCTGTGATGGAGTTTTAAACTTAAATGAAGGCTTCCCTCTTGTGGTAATGGTGCAATTTACCCCTTGCCTAATCCTTTCCTACTCTCCATCTCCTTTGTGTCTCTCCATGCCTCCTTTGTGCTGTGAGCCAGAACTATGACTTGGGAGAATGGCAGCTGATGCAGGCTCTGTTTGGTGGCTGGCAGCTGCTGGCATTTGCTTGTTTAGGATTTGATGTCTAGGTTTTTGTCTAGATTTTGAAGCCTAGTCATTTGGGCGGTTTGGGTGCAAAAGGACAAATACTAACACGGAAAAATGAGAAGGATGAAGTCACCTGCCATAAGCTGTATGTTCAGTTACTTACTGCTGCCTTGTGGTGCCTGACTCTCATTTTCTGAGTGTGACTGAAATCTCAGCTGTATATAATTTATATTATGTCTGTGGGATCCTCATCTCCAGCCTGAGGCCATGTGGGTGTTCCTGTGGGGTAATAAACAGCAAAGGCCTGTGCCAGCCCATGCCTTGCAGGTAGAACTGCTTATGATAACCTCAAAAACTACAGCCAAGTTTAACAAGTCTGCTTTGTGATCTCCATTTGTTTAGGGTTTCTTTTTCTTTATTTATAATTATCTTTATATTTCTATACTTCTTTATACTTTATATCTATATATCTATATACTTCTGATAACAGCAGTTAATCTAGCAAAGGAAGGTATTGCAAGCACCAGAGAAGGTGACTGAATTACTCAAATCCATGCCAGGAAAAAGTCCTTCAGATAATTGTCAGACCTGTATGTCTTGCCTTGAAATACACTGGATCCAGAGTTACTATCTGAAGAGTTGCTGTAAGCCAACCAAGCCTCGTAGGTTAGTGCCCTGGGGTGAAATCTTCTGGTCAGTCTTCTGCCAGGACTGAAAACAATGATTCATAATGAGGTATTTTAGCATTACAATTGATGAACTTTAATGCTGACTGATTAAAAATGTTGCTTTTTGTGTTTGTTTAACCAGACTAGGTGTATTCTCTGTATAGATGGGAACAGTAAGCTTTTCTGGTGAACATTTTGGTATTGTATGCCACTTGGATCTGCAAACAATTACAATTTATGTGTGTTTTTTACAGTGTTGGGCAGCCTCAATGGATTCTTCACCTCTGTGGGACCCCGCCTCTGTGTGTATGGAAGGTCTTTGCAGAAGTGAGCTGAGACCTGAGTGCTTTTTTTGGTTTTTTTTTTTTTTTGTGTAAGAAGAGGCTGATCCAAGCCTTTGAAATGACTGTTGAGAATTGACAGTGCTGCTGGTATAGGTCTTCTGATTTCTTGTTCAAGGAGTCTGGCATAAACTGACTGCTGCTGCCCTGGGACCACTTTCTGCCTCCATTAAACTCTTCCCTGCTCTCTCGATGCAGTTCTTAATTTCAGCTACTGCATCCCAGTGTGTCTAGAGTGGATGAGTGTGTCCCTCCACCTTGCCTGTTGATGGCTTGTCTTGGGGCCTGTTTCTGGAATGACTCACTCCAGCATTACTGAATTATGACTCTGAAGTTTTTCAGGAAGAAAGCTGGTTGCAGTAAATGAAGGGCATGAGCAGTCAGTCTACATGGCTCTGCCTCCTCTTTGTTATTCACACCCCCCCCAGCACTGTCAGGACAACTCTTGTCATTTTGCTCCTGCTCTTCTCACTGTAGATGTTTCCTGTGAAGGCTGAAATCCATCCTCAGCACCGTTTACACTCCTGCATGGATTGCAGCTTCTTGAGTAAAATGAAGATCTTTATTCTCAGTCTGCTGCAAGTTACACTGGTGTTGAAAATCTGTGAGTATTTTTTCACAGGGTGAACATCTAGCAAGGCCCTGCCACCCCTTCATGGATGACAGGCTAACTCCAGATGTAGGTGAGTTACCCCAGCAAAAGTGGGCAAACTTTGAGCACTGCTGACTCACTGAAACCTCTCCTGTAATGGGGCCCTGGCACATCCAACTTGCTGATAACTGCAGTCACTGTGGATCTCTCTGCATTGTTTTTCGTTCTTTCATATGCCACCGTGTTAAAACTATTCATTTTTTTCAATGAGTTATTGGTTCAAGTTTAATAGAATACAAGTTGCCAGCTGGAAGTGTGGAGTGGTGTTATTGCTGATGGGTTGGCTACTGAATCTCCTAGCTTATTAATGAAATGAAACTAATATTTTATAAATGAAACTAATATTTTAGCTAATATTTTAGAACGCCTACAGCAGGGATCTTGCCTCAGTTAGGCTCTCAGACTCCTGTGATTTACTTAATTGTTAATGCACTTAATTAACTTAATTGTTCATGCACTGCCTAACAGGCAGTTGCTGATGTTCCCTGTTAGTGAAGCACATTGGTTAGCAAGACTTCAGGACTTCCCTTAGAAATGAGTCTGAAGTTCAGTGCCAAACCTTGGAAATCCTGCAGCAGCAAACAGACTGTGAATACTGAATATGAGAGGGGTGGGGAAGAGATGCTATTTTTTTGCAGAAGTATAATGATTTTACTTGCAGCTTGAACATAGTTAACTATGCTGAGATGAAGAAATTCCCTTTGGGAAGGAAAAAAGAGGCATCCATCCCTTCATTTCTCCTCTGGGTCTTGGCTGGCTGCCTCAAAATATGGGTGGGTGGGAATTCTGTGTGTGTAAACAAAACCCAAATGAACAAAAGCCCTGTTTTCAACTTGTTGCTTAGCCATTGTGGAATTTAATACCATAGAAATTGCATTTTTATGGATGACACATAGTTTTTAGGAAGACTTTGTAGACTGGCAAGAGTTGATCTGGGTTTTGGTGGGGTGTATTTTGTTTGGTTTGTGTTTTTGATGTTCTACATTATGATATCAAGAGTCAGAGGAGACCAGTGTGATGAACCACGCAAATCTGAGGTGTAGGAGAAGTATTTTTTCATTAAAGTGACAACTGCATGTCTCCCCTCTTGCTGTCCTGCATCCTTTTGAGACTGCACTGCACTCTGTAGTAGAGCTGAAAATACTCTTGCTTTTTGTAAAGCAGGGCTGCCCAATGCTTGGAATGCCTAGAGCAGGGCTTGGATGAGGCAGCAGAAGCAGAGAACAGGAGTTGCTTTGTTATGGGTAATGCTAAATTCTGCTGGGCTGGAAACCGTGGAGTGTCACATTAGAGATGCAAATACATGCATGCACACAGAGAGAAGTTCTATTTCCTGAGGGGAGCTACTCTCAGGCTTCTGCTTTGTGTGTTTGGCAGTGTTGCTGTATCGTTACACTATTTTTCCCCAGGAAAAAACATATTGTTTCCTTGAGGTAACTGTCTGTGCTTTATTTTTGCAATTTCCAGTTTTGTAATTTGTTACCATTGACCGCAACTCTCTGCACTGCCCAGCTGCCCTCTCACTGGAGCACGGGAGCCACAGCCTCTCCCTTGGCAGCCCAGACAGCATCCAGATCCTGCCTGGAGCTTTGGGAGGACTGACCCCCTCCCTTCATCTCCTCTGCTACAGAAACAAGCAACAAATGGCAGAAAAGACAGCAGGTACCAACATGAAGAACCTTTTCATTTTTTCTATTTACTTCTCCATCTATATGTTGTCAACTCAGGAATGCTTGCCAGGGGATACACTGACTAGCTAGGTTTGTAAGAATATAAATTATACATATATATATAAAAAAAATTATTGAGGGGAGAAAGAAGGCCCTCTTAAGGGGGAAAAAACAGCTTATATTGATTTAGAGTTCCAAATCATTCTCACCACTCCCATTTCCATGTAGCCAGGTAAGTCTTAAAACATCCCAGCTTTTCCCCTATAAAGCCTGACAGCCTCATGGCCCTCAGTTCCAGATACTTACTGTATTTCCAGCTCTGGAATACATTACACATCTCAGGGTTTTTTTTGTGTATGGTACACAAAGCTATGTTGCCAGACTAATGCAGCAGTCACTGAATATTTACAACTTCATAGCAATACATCTGCAGTATTTGTTGGGAGTGCTTCTAATAGAAATGCAGGTTTTCCCCAGAGAACTAATAATTTACTGAAAATGTTTAATCAACCCATTTAAAATAGAAAATAGATTTTTAATTAGTCTAAATCTATATGCTTTTGAGATTCTGTCATCATTTTAAAATTTGAACATTGGCTTTTTGGTTTTTTTTATTCCTAATAGTTCACTTGGCACAATAATTTATTGGGATTGGAAAAACAATAGAAGCCTTGAGGGCTTGAACTTCAAATCCACTCCCCTCTTAAAAATTTGGGTGTCACTGTAACATGTAGTTCAGGAGGAAAATGTATTTATATTAAGGAGATCTTTTTCTTGTTTTTGTGCATGAAATAGGGCAAGTCATCTTGCATACTCTTGTATCATGACATGCTCATATAAATTTTGTAGAACAATACTATGGGAATGCAGACCATTATACCCATTAACCATATTTATTCCTCGACTGTTGCTGTGTTAATGCATAGAAAGTAATTTGGTTTTGTTCTGGATATAATTTACCTTAGTCAACTTAGTAAACAAAACACAATTTCCTTGTAAACCAAATTCTTGGAATCACTTTAATGCATTAGTAGATAATTAGTACTGGTTTACATAGCTTGGCTTAAGAAATTAGCTTTCATGTGAGAACAATTATTTAAACTGATGATGAAATACCATTATTCCTAGGAAAGACAAATTTTTATACAGAGTTAATATAAAAATGTTTCAACAAAAAGCAAAAGCTAAATTTTATTTACTTTCACTTAATAATCTTTATAGCCTTTTACAATTTTTCTCTTTTGTGCATAAAATCTACTTTTAAACAACTTATCAAGCACAATGGAAAAACTGAAATGACTTCAAAAATTATTAACCAAAGCATGCAATACATCTTTTTATAAAAATTGTCAGCTGTCATCTTGGAAAAAGAAAAAGCAAAGAAAAAGGTGTAAAATTCAGTGATGAAACCTTGTTGATTTGCTTTATTGATACTGGTCTTCTTCCAGAGCTGTCCCTGGCAAGAGGATCCAAGGAAGTGCAGCAATGATCCCATGGCACTGTCACAGCAGGACGGGCTGGAGCCTGAGGCTGGCAGGGCACAGCTGGAACATCTGTGGGATGCCAAGCAGAGGAAACTGATGTGCAGCTGGCTGGAGAGTCACACTGCAGGTAATGATGAAAAATGCCTGTTATCCAATAGGCCAGGCTTGTTTAGAACAAGATCAAACTGCATTTGTTGAAATGAGTGTGAGAGAATCAAAACCCTTCTGTTCCTTCAGGTCCCGCAGCTGAATATCAATTTCCTTATCCTCCTCCCACCTTGTGTGAGGAAAATGTGATTCTTAGCTAAGCTAGCTAAGAACTTTGCACTGGAGTTGAAACTCGACCATCTGGAGAGTTCAAACATGAGCAATAGAAAGGTAGGTCTTGAATGTTTATCTGCAATTTTTTTGTAGCACTCAAACACTCAAAAATCTCCCTGAAATTAGTCTTTAAAAAAGAAGTGGATTCTTTGAACCAATCTAAAGACAGAAAACAGCAAGAAAACTATGGAGAGGCCATAGTTTGCAGAAGAGGAGAATCTTGCAGTTTGATGTGGATAATTCACAAACAGAATTTATTGAATGTTCTGGATAAATTGTATTTGCAAGTTCTTCCACATCTACTTCACCTCTCCCCCACACCATTATTTTCTTAAAGTGACAGAAATCACCTATTCTGATCCCAGGGGTAATTCCCCCTCTCCCCTTGCATGATTCATCTCACTTTAGCAATTTATAAACATTTCTGATATTACCCAGTTTTTTGTAATGGTTTTCTCAGAGTTTTTCTCAGGCCTCAGAGCCTGTAACATTCAATTCAAATTTTTACTTATTAAGTGCATCTCCACTCCAGGAAACAGCCCCATTAGGAATGCCCATGTAGGAGTTAAGCTGCCTCCTGAAGAAGCAGCAATAGTTTTTTATTTTCAGCTCAGGCCATAAGATTCCTTTTTTTGTTGTTCTTATGAGAACTTTTGAAGAGGGGGGATGTGAAGAAGGGATTCAGAGGATAAGCAGCAGCAGAGGAGGTAGCTATTGTTTTATGGTGTGGACACTGCATCCCAGTGAGCAGTTGGCTCCAGAAATGAGATATGGACACACAGTTCTTGCAAGAAGCAACCTCCCTCTCATTTACATGAGAGTAGGGTGGTAGAAGAGACCCCACTGAAGAGAATTCATTTTCCAGTTAAAAAAAGAAAAAATAACAACAGTACCACACTGCACCCCCCTCACTTGGGAAAGCTGGAGAGGCAAACAGTTGCAGTAACTTCACTAAAAAAACAAGGCTAAACTTAGCCTTGTTTTAAAGGCTAACAAAGCCTTTAAAATTACAGTTGTTTTCAGGAATAAATTGTATCAGTTTGCTACTGTGAGCTAATATTACTTCATAATGTTAATAATATTACATAATAACAAAAATATTAATGCTATAACAATATCTTAATATCTATGAAGTATATTATATTATAGTAATAATAATATTATATATTAATAATAATATTATATTATAGTAATAATAATTATATTACTATTACTATAATAGTAATAGAATGAGATATAAATAGAAGCACAGAGGTAGCAGATAGTAATAATTAAAACCTTCAACTATTACGGAGGTCATTAGATGCCCCAAACCCAAGAAACTCATTAGCACAACCATTGGAAAATTCTGCTGTTTATGGAGACAGTACCATCACCTCTAAACTTCCCAACACTGAAATGACCATTGGTCTTGTGTTTACTCTGAACACATAGTTGTATCTATGGTTTTCAATTTTTTTCAATATGTTTGATCCTGCTTGTGAAATCAGGATGTAGGACTTGATTTTGATACAGCTTTCAGGTGCATACCCTGCCTCAGTGGCAATAACTGGCAGGAACTCTCTTCAGCTGCACCCACAGGTGAGCTCAGTGCCTCACTGCTTGCTAATCTGCCCTGCACTAAACAAGAACAGGTTGATAGCTGATAAAAAAGCAGCTCTAGTACAAACCAGACTGTGTGATGATAATGGTTGATTATTCTTGTGAAATCAGAGCCTCTGTCTGAGATGGTCTTCCACCCTTCTGTTACACAAATGCACTTTGATGGAAAGTACCTCCACAAGTGTTTGTTTCCACGTGTGTGTGCATCTCCATACCTGCTCTTACCTTGGGTAATTAGGCATCTGTTCCTTGTCTGTGGGGCTCCTAGTTGTAGACTAAAAATGAAGAGATCAATCAATAATAATTTAAATCAATAAGTTAGGCTTCTGCAAAATATCTCTCGAAGTTGAATAATTCAGAAAACACATTCCTACAATGAGTCACTTATGTGCTTTACTGCAAACATGAAGACAACACATGTCCCTGGGAGCAGGGGAGCAAGAGACACTCACAGAAATAAGCAGTTGTTGTGTGGGAGAATGACATGAGGTGGGTTTTGTACAAATCTTACTCCCAAGGCTGGTCTCTCTTGGTGACAATTAGGAGAGGTGAGAGATCCATGGATATTCATTGTCTTGAACTCCTGTCAGCAGTGGGACTGGGAGCTTGCCTCATGAAGACCAGACTTGGTGACAAAAAGGCAGGAAACTGATTTTTGTTATTTTCTAGATTTAAACTTTGAGCATCATGTGAAGCTCAAGAAATTGGAAATAAGCCAGGCTAAAGATGTTCCTTCACAAGTCCAATGGACAGTATTGTAAACTACCAACAAGTAAGTATTTTCAAGACTAGAAGTCCTGACTGCAATACTGTTGAAACCATGGAGAAAAAAACAGCTTTTCTATGACTTCCTCACCATCCAAACACACAAAAGCTTGTATGTGCTTCAGGATCCCATGTTATTTCAACTTTGCTAAGCTGACTAAAGAAGTTTTAGTGCCTGTGAATCCAAGTGCCAAAATTCCAAAATTAGGGTCTGTCTTTGTTCATCTTCCTGTCAATCTAGCAGAGAAAACAGAAACTGGTGGTTGTCCTCAAACAAAGAGGTGTTTTTGTAGTTTTCAGGGCACTCTACTTAGACACAACCTGCAAGCTGGAGAGGCATCAACTGATGAATAAGCAATCTGTTAGCAACTTGGACTAAAAACAAGGCACTGATGAGGGCTGGGGAATGCAGCCAGACATTTTGGATAGCAAATGTAATCAATAACCTGCCAGTTTGTAGAATGTGCATAGCGCTCTTCTGGGTGTTTTTTGGATCAAGATGGGAAAGAGATTTGGTCTTTGGCAGCAAGCTGGGCATCTACAGATTTGGAAATCAAAATGTGGCAGAAGAAATTCTGTGGAGGATGCCTTTACTGCAGTGGATTACCTGGCTACTTACAGGACCTTACAGGAGCTGGTCAGTATTAAAATGTCTACAGCAACAGCTACTAAAGTTGCCCTTTTTTATAGGAAGGCCATTTTCAGTGTCAGTACCTACTGATTTTAACAACTCAGAAATAAATGCTTGCAGTTGAGTAGCCTGTGAAAAAAGCTTTGACCTCTCCACAGCAGGCCACCCACCTTGCCAGTCCTGCCAGGGAGGCCAAGACTGAACAGATAAAACAAAGACTGAATTGCTCTTTTTTCCCATGGGTATATTTGTCATTAGAAGACTACTAAAACATTTAACACTTTTTCCAAGACCTACCTTCAACCATTATAGAAGTTGTTGGCATTGAAATAATAACAGTTGTAGTAACACCACCACCAATAATAATAAATCAAGCTTAACATTTGCTTAATGCAGTATTTGTCTCCTGAAGTCCAGCTGAGTTATAGATTGTCCTCTGTGGCCTCTGCCTTGCTCATTACCTAGCAATGAAGCAGGGACACCTAACACTCAGTTCTTGCTGCTGTGCCAAGCCTGGAGACCAGAGCATCAGTCATTCCCAGCTCTGGTGAGGAACCTGACACTTCCCTCCCTAACAAACAAGTTCAAGGTTCTACAGAGATTAGCTGTGAGAGGATAGCTAACTACAAGCAAATCAAACCCTCTTATGTAGTTTCTGCAAGCTTGTGCATATTTTTAGGGGCTGGATGACTAAATCTGTGGGATGTTACACACAAGGTGCCATAATGTAACTGCAATAGTAGGCAGATTTTGAAATTCCATGTTCAGAAATGGCTGAGATTCACATAGGTAATTCAAATGCCCCGTGATGTAGGCAGGCATCACACAGGTTTTGAAATATTTCCCTGTGCTAGGAAGTAAGGATGTGGGATGCACATGGAAGTGGAGTTGTTTTTTTAAGACTTTAAAGGAAACTTGTCTAGTAATCCTTGCCTAAATATTGTCTCAGCTGCTGCCATTTGTTCTATTGGTGGACAGGCACAAACCCAAGACTCTCCAGCTTTACCTAAGCTGTAAGGAGCCTTGCTCAAGGATGAAGTTTCCCACAGGCAACAGGCTCCTTCTAGTTCAGTACTTTGGTGGTGCACCCTGAAAATCTGGGCTGCTTAGATTTAAAAGCGGAGCTTTTGTCCTCAAATCTTCAGTGTATTTCCCTGAGATTTTATTTAAGGTATTTGTTTTTGTTGGTTTTGGTCTGTGGTCTAACATCTTGGAAAAAAAAAAAAAAGATACTATCAATGTCTACATGTCAGACCAGATATTTATTATACAGTATTGAACTAAAGCATTGTCCCTGCCTGTACTTTCTACAAATGAACATTCTACATCCCTAGGCCTTATTTAGTTGTTCTTGAAACAATGTTTTGTAGAGTGGCAGAACCTTTTGCTTTGTAGTTTTTTTGGGTTTTTTTAGGCTATTATTCAGTCCCATACTAAACTGTCACAAAATGAGACATGAACTTTGAGATAGCATCAAATGTTATAATGGAAGACTGAAATGAGTGCCACTCTCATTAATAACTTCATTACAGTGGAAGCAAGATCAAACTTATCAAGAAACTAAAAATTATGTTCCATACTAATTTCTAGGAGATATTTTCCTTTCTCATTAAAATCAAATCAAATTCTTTTTCTAACAGTCTTCTGATGTGATCTCTTTAAATCCTCAATCAAGACTTCAAAAACTTTCTATGAAAAAGACTATCCAAATCCTGATTTCAAACATGAAGTCTAGAGAAGGAGGCCCATGTTTTTAAAGGTACAGCAGGGAGAGTCTGTA